CAGTGGTGTCCCACAGGGAAGTGTACATGGCCCCCCCTTCTCTTTCTCTTCTTCCTATACATAAATGACAACCAAATGCTTCGCAATTGCTCAAACCCACACTAATTTGCAGGATGACACTTACATACATCTTCCCCACCCGAGCCCATCACGCTAGCCAATACTGTAAATACCGAAATACAGAAAATGTCTACTGGATGAGGACTAACAAACTTACACTAACATGACAAACCCTACTTCATTCAGTTTGGTAACAGAGCCTACAATGTCCCTCTTAAAATAATGATAAAACGGATCACCTATCACAAAAGCTAACCAGGGAAAAATTCATAGGAATCCCACCATGATAATAGACTCAAATTTCATACACATATACAACAAATTTCTTTCTAAGAAAATTTCCAATACCGTAGGCATACTATCGAAGAACTGTACTATGCCCCACCAGTCAGCCATCCTGGCCCTATATCACTCTCTTTTTACCCCTATCTCACCTATAGGAAAATTTGTACATGGGGCTCAACAACATTAACAAACTCAGACCACAAAGTACCCAACAAAAGGCTGCAGTTAGAATGAAAACAAATTCTCACTACAGGCAGCACACTCCACCAATATCAATACACTAACCTACTCACCATCCAAAACATCCATACTTTATTACTGCAACCTATTACAAACCATATAACACTTAACCTGATATTAAACCCTCCCCTCAAACATCTCCTTGCCAACCTCAACAGAACAATGACCATAAACAATGCCATAGATCACTCTTTTGATTTTCCTCGTGTCCATCGTCACACTAAGCAAAAACTTCAATTCACATAAAAGGCCCTAAAATCTGAATTAATTACCTGTAAATATAAAAGAAACACTAACTTTTATAAATTCAATTCTCTTCTCAAGATCAACCTACTCACCCCAAAACCAAATAAATACTGAATACTGAAAAAACCTTATAAATTGTATATCTTAAATTTTTCTCACAATATATCACATAAAATGTTAAACCAAAAACCCGAATCAACTTTATTATTTTTTAAATACACTACCTAACATAATACTCCATATGACTGAATGTACAACAATGCATGCAAACCATATGACCTGTCCTTTGTAATAACTCACTTGTGCTTTATAGTAATCTGTTTTACATTAATGTTTTATCACTGATATTTCATCATGCTTAGTTAATCTTAAGTTAATTTTAACCAGCCCGAATGCTATGCATAGTATAATGGCTTTGGCATGTGTGCTGTTTATCTGTATTTTTTTTGTGACCTCTGTATGTGTGCTCATTTGTAAATAAATAAATAAATAAATAAATCCGATCTCACTAAACGACCAAACCACATCAACAAACGCCTCTTCAGCTATCTGACTAATACTTTTATTGACTCCACACCTGCTAATTTCCACACTCAAAATATTTACACCTACACATTGCCCTTAGACAGGACATCTCCACCGCCCTCCAACGGCACCCCCTCGCTGCAGCATTTACCAACCCAAGCTTCACATCCCATATAAGAATGTTGATACCAGTAACACTTCCCATACATTCTCTTTCTTTGCTCCAAATAATGTTTTTTGTCTCCACATATATCTCAATGCACACTCACCTTATTTCCTTCATCAATTCTATGGTTATCCATAAGAATTGATGAAGACATGTCATCTCCCCAATATCTATATGTATGTACAAATATGGTAATTTGAATAAAAACTATACAGTAGTAGTCAAAGAAGTGGACTATGAAAATTGTTAATTAAAGTATTTACACGGTTAAAATTGAACAAACTCCAAAAATATCACACTATAAAAACACTTTGGGTTAATAATTCAAACATACACTTACAAAGCATTAAGGAAAGGATTAGTTATGTCTCCTTTAGGTTAGTATCTGTATAGTTACCATTAGGATTTTATGTAGGATAGTTTCTTTAATTGTATATTTCATTGTTTTGGCCATTAATGTGGATAATTTTGTGCCTAAATGCAAACCCCCTATATGATGTTTCATTGTAGTACATGCCCATATGTACAATTATAGCCTAAATTACTGGGAAACGTGTTAAAGATCTTTATCTGTATCCCCCTGGGGAATTCAGATGAGATTGATACATGATGAATATACACTTGGAAAGTCCTGGAAGGATGGTACCAACCTGCAACAACTGAAAATCACTGCCCTATGTGAAAGCAAAAGACTTGGCAGGAAATGCAACATTTCCCCGACAAAAAGCAGGGTGCACTCAAGTACACTGAGAGAACATAACACAATAAACAATAGACTCATGGCTGTCTTTAAAAGGGACTGGACAGGCATCCTAAAGTCCAAGTACCTGATCAACCTGCTGTGGTTCGTATGTCAGCTTGCGTGTGGCCAGCATAACAGCCTGGTTGATCAGACCCCTGATCACCATGAGCCTGGTCTCAGACCGAGCTGTGGGGGCATGAACCCCAGAAACCCTCTCCTGGTAATATGTAAGAATAATGTAATAAAATAATAATGTAAAATAATAAAAAATGTTACTATGGAGGCAAAGAAGGAATGTATGAAATATAATAGTAACAACACTCATGTGGGTGTGAAGCTTGGGTTTTGTAAATGCAGCTGCAGCAGGAGGCAGTTGGGAGGCATGGAGATGTTTCTGTCTAAGGGGCAATGTGGGCAGTGTAAATATTAGCAGAAAATTCGAGTGTAGGAAATTACGAGAGTGTTGAGGTTATAAATTTATTAGTCGAGGGCTGAAGAGGGGTTGTTGAGGTGGTTTGGTCATTTAGAGAAATGGATCAAATTAGAAAATGACATGAGAGCGTAAAATCTGTAGGAAAGGAAGGTGGGGTAGGGGTCGTTCCCTCGAGAGGTTGGAGGGATGGTAAAGGAGGTGTTGAGGGTCGAGGGTTTGGACTTCCAGTAAGTGTGGCTGAGCATGTTAGAACTAGGAGTGGAATGGAGACAAATGGTATTTGTGGACCTGACAGCTGTTGGAGTGTGGACAGGGTAATATTTTAGTGAAGGAGGATTCAGGGACAAACTACCGGTTTATTTTAATAGCCTGGACTTGACCCTGGAAATGGGAAGTGCAATCCCAGCCACTTTAACGAGGGGTTGGAAATTGGCAGTTGAGGATATTTGTGTATCTTTATATGTATATACTTCTAAACTGCTGTATTCTGAGCACTCATGCAAAAACAATGATTAATGTGTGAGTGTGGTGGAAAGGGAGTGGGGGGGAAGGAATGAAAAGTATTTTCTTTTTGGGAATTTTCTTCTTTTTGGTCACCCGGCCTCGGTGGGAGACGCTGACTGTTATAAAAAAAAAATGTAAATAAATTTCAGACTTTGTTGGAAAAATTTTAAGTGTAAGGTAAAAGGTATTCATACAACGCAGTACATCCACCAATGATATTTACATCCATCAATGAAAAATTAAAAATAACAAGACTTCCAGCAAGCGTGCATGAGCGTTGTTTAGATAGGATGAATGGAGACGAATGATACTTGGGACCTGACGATCTGTTGGAGTGTGAGCAGGGTAATATTTAGTGAAGGGATTCTGGGAAACCGGTTATTTTCATATAGTCTGACTTGAGTCCTGAAATGGGAAGTACAATGCCTGCACTTTAAAGGAGGGGTTTGGGAATATTGGCAGTATGGAGGAATATGTTGTGGTATCTTTATACGTATATGCTCTAAACTGGTGTATTCCTGAGCACCTCTTGCAAAAGCAGTGATAATGTGTGATATGGTGAAAGTTGTTGAATGAGATGAAAGTATTTTCTTTTTGGGGGTTTTCTTTCTTTTTTGGGTCCACCCTGCCTCGGTGGGAGACGGCTGGACTTGTTAAAAAAAAAAAAAAAAAAGGCTGAAATTCGGTAACCAACCAACCGTGGGCGTGAGGTAGGCCACCACAATGGGTACCACCAGTCCATTTAGGCCATTGTAAGAAGTAGCCAGACCAAGAGAGTGGCAGCATAGGGGAGGTCACCAGTCAATTGGAGTGTACTGGTAGCCACCCACGAACAACATGCATCTGGCCCCATCACCACCATCAGAGTGACATAGCTGCCGCCCATCGCCATTCACCATGGTGCTTCCACTTACCACTAGTGGTGTCCCGGTTGCGCCATGAGCAGTCCTGTGTGGCAAAGGAAATAAACAAAAATGTAATTCAGTTTGTACTCTGTAATAAATTTATATTCTCCAGGGAGTAATAAACCTGTGAAGGTGTAAAGTATGAACTGGTTTAGCACTTTAAAAGTACTCCATGGAAAATTTCAGAATATAATGAAGTGACTCTAATTAACAAGGATTATATTATAATCAAGGGGAGTGCTAAACTTGTAGGAATTATGGCAGTGCCCTATGGGGGGAATGTGGAAGGTATTCAGGCTTAATTCAGGGAACCAGAGCACCGATCCAATTTCCCTTAGACAAGAGGCCGCCTCACCAACATTCAAGAATTTTCCTTAGGGAAATTAACAAAGGAGGCTTCCCTATCTCCCCAAAAATAAGAAAGGCAAATACAGTGGTACCTCTGGATAAGAACAGCTCAAAACTCCAAACAATTATGTAAGTGAAATTTATGGTAAGTGCTTTTGAACATGTATTTTTGGGGTCCTGAAAGATTAATCCTAATTTACATATTCCCTTAGGGAACAAATTCGTTCGGTATCACCACTCGAACAGCCTTCTGGAGCGAATTTAGTTCATATCCCGAGGTACCATACTGAATATATATCGCACTACATATATGTTCATCGATCAAATCCCGAAATGTGCAAATACAGTACCTGTATGAATCTTAATTTGATGATAATTAAAAGAAGTGTTTTCTTTAGGTGTTTGAGCAGCAAACACCATTTCAGGAAAGGGTTTGTAAAATGGTTTTCTCGGGCAGGGTGTATAATTACAAGTGAAAGGAATTTTGGCATCCTGTGCCAAGGAACATCTAGAAAAACATTTAGCTATGCTTACAATCCACAAACTTTAATGTCAAATTCAAATTTACAAACATGCTTAATGATGTCAGTGAGCAAGGTGTAATGCACTTCCAAGTACATAATACAAATGCCCTGGATTCCAGATTTTTTTTTTACCTTTGTAAGTATGAGAAAGGGTGACAACAACCAGTGATCAAATCTGACTGAGAGTTAGTAAATTAGGGAATATTACAAAAAAGAGCAGAATTTTTTGAAGTAGTGGGTCAAGTTGCTTATTTCCTTAAGGTGTGAAAAATAACTGGAAAGATTTACAAGTCAAGCCATTCTCAATGATCAGAGATATAGAAAAATGAGCTTAAGTGGTATGCAAAATTTAATATTTACAAGAAAGAAAAGTTTTGCTCTTAAGATTATCAGACTTTATATTTTACTTTGCAATTAGCTCATCAATAAAAATTTTGGAATCTCTTTAATATTATGTGCCCCTTATGATAAAAGTGCCACAAACACTTAGCTAAGAGTGTTGCTCAAGTAGGGAGTTACCAAGTGTATTGAAGACTTTCTTAGTGATGGTGAGAGGAAGGTGCCGAAAATTCAAGGCATCTATTACCATTCCCACAGCCAGCGACAGAGGAACTTCTACAAGCCATGGCAGCGATGACATTATCCCATTCTGCGTGTTCATAAACAAAAATTCTTGTGATAGTTTAAGCAGCCACAAAGGCTACAATAATAACAGTGATAACATTATTACAGTACTGTACCAGCATTATTATTATTATTATTCTTTCAACGTACCAGCCGTATCCCACCGAGGTGGGGTGGCCCAAAAGGAAAAACGAAAGTTTCTCCTTTTAAATTTAGTATATAACAGGAGAAGGGGTTACTAGCCCCTTGCTCCCGCATTTTAGGTCGCATCTTAAAGACACGCATGGCTACGGAGGAAGAAATTCTGTTCCACTTCCCCATGGAGATAAGGGGAAATAAACAAGAACAAGAATTAGAAAGAAAATAGAATAAACCCTAGAGGTGTTTATATACATGGGGTATTGCATGTACACGTGTGTAGTGTGAAACTAAGTGTAAGTAAAGTAGCAAGATGGTATAATCCTGAAATCTTCATGTTTACAAGACAGACAAAAGACACCAGCAAGCCTACCATCATGGTAAAACAATTACAGGATTCCATTTTACAACTCTCTGGCAGACAGGTAGAACCTCCCTGGTGGTTGCTGTCTACCTAACCTACTACCTAGGATTATTATTATTATTATTATTATACAGTAATACAGTAGTTTTAGAAAGAGTATAGGTACTTACTGTAATAGCAATAAGTAGTAATAACTTTAGTACATATTAATGTATTAGGCAGTCCCTATATTACACTATATAAGCGCAATAATAGTTGAACAACACAATAAAATTACAAGAAAGATTATAATTAACTTATAATAATAGAATCCACTACTAAATATAAACCAACTTAGGAGACTGTACTGTAAACAGTCGATGATACAATGTCGGTGGCCCGGTGGGTCTGGTGGCTAAAGCTCCCGCTTCACACACGGAGGGCCCGGGTTCGATTTCCCTGCCGGGTGGGAACATTTTTCGACACGTTTCCTACACCTGATGTCCTGTTCACCCTAGGCAGCAATAGGTTACCTGGTGTTAGTCCGACTGGTTGTGGGTCGCATCCTGGGGGACAAGATTAAGGACCCCAATGGAAATAAGTTAGACAGTCCTCGATGACGCACTGACTTTCTTGGGTTATCCTGGGTGGCTAACCCTCCGGGGTTAAAAATCCGAACGAAATCTTATCTTATAGTATCATAAGTACTTAACAGTATAAGAGAGTACTGTACTTTAGAGGTACTAGACTCACATGGCCTACTGAAAAAGCAAAAATATCCCTCATGAAGAATGGCTGATGTAGAGTGAAGGTGAAGTATCCAAAGCTGCTGAAGATGGTTGTAGCTATGAGAGCCAATACTGGAGTGCTCCCCAACAGCTTTTTCCATGGCACTTTCTTCCAAGACCTGCAACCACCACTCTTTTCTTGTTCATATTGCTGGAAATACCTGGAATCAAGTACAGTAATATACAGTGTAGCTCAAACTGACAACTATCCAGTAGGTAGTGTGCTTCCTTACATTTTTTGTGTGGAGGATCACACTTCCACCACCCCTTGCACTGAATCATCCACAAAGGTTTAGTGCTTTACATAATTTAACAAATACTGTAAATAAGATGTTACCAAAAATATAATAACAGAAGAATTCAATTGTTTACTTGCTATGTGACTCATGTGGGTTTGGGGGGCTCTGGGGGGGGGGGGGGGGGGTGCACTTTTGTGAATATAATAAAACTACACTAGAGTTATATAACCAATTTTGATAAAATTCTTGTGCTGAGTGTTACTTAAAAATGAACCTGAATTAGTCTTAGATACTTTAGAGAAGATTACAAGATCACAATCAATTATAAAGTCCTGTAACAACTTTAGCCACAAATACATATACAGTACTTTTCATCAGAGATTAGTACTTGGATGAATATTTTTCCTAGTTTACCTTCAAGGTATGAGATGAGAGGTTACCCAAAGATTGGCTCTTCCAGTTTTTGATATACTCATTTTCAATTTTGTTATCAACACTAACCTACCAACTTGATTTTTTCGTACTATAATTTTCTTTAAATAACTTATTTAATAATTTACATAACTTTAGCTAACTGTTTTTACAGTTCAAGGGGTGACTCTTCAGGTGACCCCTGAGGCCAGTGCCAGTTTTTGTTATTTCATTGTAGAGAGGGTGCAAGATGCTGCACAGTACCTTTTTTCTGTCTGAGAGAGGAATGGGTGTGTAGTGGGCGAGTTGTGGAGGAGGAAGAGAGCAGCAACAGTCCAGGCACATCCCAACACACCCATTAGGTAAAAGATAGAGGGCCAGCCTCCCAGTGGTCCATGAAGACACAACAGAGAGATGAGAGGATGAGAAACCATCACCCCCAGGGGAAAGCCAGCATAGGCAAGGCTGGTGAGCAGGTTCAGATCCTGTGATGTCCCCCATCGTGTTAGAAGGTATGGATGAGCATTCAGTCCCATTCCCTGTGGCAAGTTATGAGTTCTTAGTAGTGATCAGGAGGTTACCTGGAGGAGATAGGTATTTTATTCATCAAGGAAAATATCTCCTTATTTGAGTCTTAGTTGTATATGATGCATTCAGTGGAGTTTTGGTTCTATCGTGGAGTTCATGCCTTTCATTTTTTGTGTTAGGTGTGTTAGGTAAGTGGGAGATTTTTTTCGTGTCAGCGTGCCTCGTTGCTCCTGTTTTTCTGGTTTTTCCACGGTACGATCTACGTGCTAGAACTTTAATTTGTGTCATCAATCCTATACGATACATCCCTCTAGCGCCTGGAACCAATCTTGGGCGGAAAACATTATATACTGAGTAAAAAAAGGAAGAATTAGTGTGCACTTCCTAGCAGATTTTACTGCCAGAGGGAATCATTAGGCCTGTCCGTGTGGAAAAATAATACAATAGACTTTGTTGTCAGAGGAAAGAAAGTCTCCCTGAAAGCATTTGAGTATACATAGGTGTATATGTATACTACGTGGCACCCTCAATATATTGATGATACAGGCTAAAGATCATTTGAAACAGGTGAATTTGTAAATGAAGTGATAACCTATAGAGGCATGTGCCAGAAGGCGCCAGAAACTTACCACAGGTCAGCTGTTTTAATAAAATTCCTGGACTGCTAGTGTAACTCGCTCATATAATCTAGTGAACCAGTGAATAGCAGAACTACAGTGTTTAGGTAGCAACTAACCAGTATTATAATGGTACTTAGTTGGAGTGAGTGACTTTCAATAGTTTCTTTTTCATTGAAATACGAGACGTTACTGTGAATTTCATATAACCTGTAGTTACCAGCGGTACGCCAATATACACAACGAGAAGCAATAATTACTACAGAATAAGCGCCCGTTCCTCCAAAATTTGCACCAGTCAACTATAGTTATAATATTATCATTTATTGTGGTGGAACTGAAAAAAAAATAAGAGAAGCTAGATACAGCGATTGATAAACAAAGGTGGTGGCTCGACGACCGTTCGTCATTGTGGGAGCTGCTCCATCATCACCGGCTCTTCATCACGCCCAGTTATACTTTTGTACAATCAAATCACATATTACTCGGTAGATAATTTCCCAGTAGATTCCTTTCATGGTTACTCAAATCACCGACCAGTATGGTTTAAATAAGTAACCACTGATCAGATCAGATAGACTGGTCCGAACCCTTGACTGGTCCAACCCTTTGAATGGTCCGAACCCTTGACTGTCCCAACCCTGGACCTGGTTTCAAACGGTTTGTCGTTGTGCACCTACAGGTTATTATAGAATATTCGTCAAGAAGGTTGCTAGTAGACTTGCAGTAAAATCAACCTTCAAATCATTATGAAGCTGTGTGTAGTCTGTGGACCAGTCAAACTAAACGGCTTCACTGCATAAATTGTCATTTTCTGTGGAATTGGTGTAGCGCCCCTTGTCAAATATCCAAGAATAGCTACAAGCAGTATTAACACAGGAAGTTTTTTTTGGGTATGCCCAAATGATATAAATCTGTGGACTAAAATCACAAGGTTATTAAAAGCGGTCAACAACAAAGCTGCTTTCATAGAAAACCAGGAAGCTTTTCTCTACAACAGATGGGAAAATAAAAAGTCCGGGCTGAATGGTACTGCCCATGATACTGGCCATGTAGTTCAGAAAACTGTAAGGCAGGAGATATGTCCTTGGTAGTTCCTAAATGGGGAGCTGATAGTGGCTGTCGCTGGGAGACAGTTAATGGGGAAGCTGGAGGTGCTTGACCTGGAGACAGTAATGGTGTAAGCAGGAGGAGCTGTCCTGGGAGACAGTACTGTGAATCTGAGATGCTGTCCCCTGGGGACAGTATTGGGAAGCTGGAGAAGCTGTCCTGGGAGACATTAATGGTGGGAAGCTGGAGATTTTGTCCAGGTAGTCGAGGAATTAATAACGCAGGAAGGAATACATATGATGACCTCATAGGGGACAGGAGCCATAGTATGGAACAAGTGTAGACAAGAATAAGATAAAACCAATATTGCAAACAAGAAAATACCGCAAGGAAATAGCAAACAAGAGGACTCCACTAGCAATGAGTGAGGAAATATACCAAAAACAAATGGTGGGAGCTCCATTGTTGGTGCTAGGGAGGATAGAAGTAAGACAGGAAACATGCACCAACAGGGAATACAGTCGACAGAAACCCAAGCCACACGGAAAACCAAGCCTGTGCACATACTATGCACTCGGATCTGCTGGCATGGGAAGATCTGGAAAAAACAGATGGGACGTGCAACTATGACCACGCCCTAGAAATGCCCATGCCCAATGACAACAGGAAAATGCAAACTCCTTCCGGGAAGCTTTTTTTACCACTCCTGAACTGTGTACCTCTTAGTACAAGGAAAGACTGTGCTATAACTTAAATTGCCAGCATAAACCATCTAAAGGGGGGGACAAAAAAGATACAAAACATCCAGCCATGGGAAACCTGGTAGCCCACGCCACTCAAGAGGGAGAGGTTTTTTTAGTGCCAGAAGGAAAAAAAAACTGGGCAGGAAATGCAGAAATCGTACACCAATCCAGTCATTCCCTGGAGTGGAACCACAGTCATGGCCTCCACTCCAAACGCAACAGATACAGATACTAATGGCCGGAAAAAAATTAATCCCCCCCAGTACCAAACAATACCTACCAGTCCGATAACATTCTTCTTTGCAAATATACAGGGTCTAAAGCCAGCAACAAACAACAAAAACCTTCATCCGTGACTGCTATGCAGAGGCAAAGCAATGTTCGCGCTTTCGCTGAGACCCACAATAAAGGATCACTTGGACAACGACATATGGATCCCAGGTTACAACCTATAGCAATGTGACAGAGTGAACAGGCAAAAGGTGGGTGTTGGCCTGTCCCATTGCAAGAGTCACTTGTTTGCACAGAACTGCTAAATTGCCTCAAATATGTAGTGGAATTTTAGCAGTAAAGGTCGAGGAACCAAAGACCTAGTCAAGTGCTGATAGTCTACAAGCCTCCGGAAGCACATCCCCAGCAATTCCCATGAACAGCTGTTAAAAAATGACCACTGTCTGGAAAATCACCCAGCTCTCCTGCACCCATATCTGCTGATCGACCATGAGGCCTGGGTCTCAGCCCCGACTGTGGGGGCGTTGACCCCAAAACCCCCTCAGGTAAATGTAAGAATAATGTAAAAAATAATAATTAAAAATAATAAAAAATGTTATTTTGGGAGGCAAAAAGGGAATGTATGAAAGTATAGTAGTAAAAAACACTCATGGGGGTGACTTGGGTTGTAAATGCTGCGCCAGGGGGCAGTGGAGAGTTTCTGTTTAAGGGCAATTGGGCATTTAAATTTATGCAAAAATTCGGGTGGGGAAATTTAAAGAGGTGGGGGAGTTAATAAAATTATTAGTCGAGGGCAAAAGGGGGGTTGTTGGGGTGGTTTGGTCATTTAGAGAGAATGGATAAATTTGAATGACTGGTGAGGTATAAATCTGTAGGGGAAGGAAGGCGGGGTAGGGGGTTCCCGAAGATTTTGGGGGAGGGGGTAAAGGAGGTGTTGGTGGGCGAGGGGTTTGGATTTCCCATAAGGTGGGTGAGAGTTAGATAGGAGTGAATGGAGACAAATGTATTTGGGACCTACACTGTTGAGTGTGAGAGGGTAATATTAGTGAAGGGATTGGGGAACCGGTTATTTTATATAGCCTGATTTGACCCTGAAATGGGAAGTAAAAAGCCGCACTTTAAAGGAGGGTTTGGGATTTTGGCAGTTTGGGGGGATATGTTTGTGTATCTTTAATGTATATACAGGGACCCCGCTTAACGACCCCTCCAAATGCGACCAATTATGTAAGTGTATTTATGTAAGTGGTTTTTTCGTGTATTTTTGGGGGGTCTGAAAAGGACTAATTATTCAAATTTTTCCTTTTGGGGAAAAAATTGGTCAGTACTGGCCCCTAACTACTACTGGAATAAAAAATTTTCGTTAACCGGGGGGGTCCACGTATTTTTAAAACTGCTGTTTCGGGCCTCTGAAAAAACAGTGATTATGGTGAGTGAGGGAAAGTTTTTGAATGACGATGAATATTTTTTTTGGGGTTTTTCTTTCTTTTTGGGTCACCCTCCTCGGTGGGGACGGTGATTTTTTAAAAAAAAAAAAAAATGTAAATAAATTTCGACTTTTTGGGAAAAATTTTTAGTGAAAGGAAAAAAAGGTTTTCATACAAAGCAGTACATCCCCCAATATATTACATCCATCAATGATAATTAAAAAATAAAAAGATTTCCCAGCGGGTGCATGAGGGGTTTTAGATAGGAGTGAATGGAGCGAATGAATTTGGGCCTGACGATCTTTTGGGTGGGGCAGGGAATATTAGTGAAGGATTCGGGGAAACCCGGGTTATTTTCTATATTGATTGAGTCCGGAAAAGGGGAAAGACAATGCCTCCCCTTTTAAAAGGGGGGGTTTGGGAATTTTGGCAGTTTGGAGGGATATTTGTGTATTTTTATAATATACTTCTAAACTGTTTTTCTGACCCCACTTGCAAAAGCAGTGATAAATGTGGATTTGGGGAAAGTGTTCAATGATGATGAAAGTATTTTTTTTTTGGGGATTTTCTTTTTTTTTTTGGGGTCACCCTCCCTCGGTGGGAGACGGCCGATTTGTTAAAAAAAAAAAAAAAAAAAGGCTGAAATAGAAACCCAAACCCAACCGTGGGGGGAGGTGGCCCCCAAAATGGGTACCAAGGGCCATTTAGGCCATTGAAAGAGTTAGCCAACCCCAGAGAAGGGGGCAGCAAGGGAGGTCCCAGGTAAAATTGGGAGTGTATGGTGCCCCCCACAAACAACATGCATGGCCCATCACCACCAGCGCAGTGCATAGCTCGCCCATCGCCTTTAATGGTGTTCCCTACCACTAGGGGTGTCAGGTTGGCCAAGAGCACCCTGTGGGCAAAGGAAATAAAAAAAATTGAAATTCATTTTTGTACTTTTGAAAAATTTTTTTATTCTCCCAGTGAGTAATAAACCTGCTGAAGGTGTAAAGTAATACGGGTGCATTTAAAAGTACACAGGGAAAAATTTAGAATAAATGAAGGGCTTTTAATTTAAAAAGGGATTTTATTATAATCAGGGGGTGCTAAACCTGTAGGATTATGCAGTGCCTAGGGGGGGAAATGGGGAAAGGGTTTTTCAGGAAATTCAGGGAACCAACACGATCAATTCCCCTAGACCAAGAGCCCTCACCAAATAAAGGAAATTTTTCCTTGGGGGAAAAATTAAAAAGGGGCTTCCTTCTCCCCAAAAATAAATAGCCAAAACAGGGGTACCTCGGGAAAGAACAGCTCAAAACTCAAAATTTTTGTAATGTATTTATGAAAGTTTTTTTGTAACTGTATTTTTGGGGGTCTAAAATTGGATTAATCTAATTTACATTATTCTTAGGGAAAAATTCATTCGGTATCCCACTCGACAGTTCTGGACCAAATTTTAGTTCATACCCCCGAGGTACCACTGAATATATATCCACAAAATTTCATGATCAAACCCCTGAAAATGTGCAAAATCAGTCTGTAAGAATTTTAAATTTTGATGTTTAAATTAAAAGAAGTTTTTCTTGGTGGTGAGCACCCAACACATTTTCAAAAAAAGGGTTTGAAAATGGTTTCTAGGGTGTAAGATTAAAAGTGAAAGGAATTTTGGCATCCTGTCCCAAAGGGAAACATCTAGAAAAACATTTAGTATCTTAAAATCCACAACTTTAAGGGTCAAATTCAAATTTAAAACAGCTTAAGATGTCAGGAAAAGGTGTAATCCTTTCCAAGTAAAACAAAGCCCTGGTTTCCAAAATTTTTTTTTTACTTTGTAATATGAAAAAGGGGTGCAACAACCAGTATAAAATTTTGACTGAAGTTAAAAAATTAGGGAAATTAAAAAAAGAGCAGAAATTTTTGAAGTAGGGGGTAAATTTGTTTTTTCCCAAAGGTGGAAAAAAAACTAAAAGTTTACAAGTCAAGCCATTCTCAATGATAAAGGATATAAAAAAATGACTTAAGGGGTATGCAAATTTATTTTACAAGAAAGAAAATTTTGTTTAAGGTTACAGCTTTTATTTTACTTTGAAATTTTGTTAAATAAAATTTTTGGGAATCTCTTTAAATATTATGTCCCCCTTATGATAAAAGTCCCAAAAAACACTTAGCTAAGAGTTTTGTAAAGTAGGGAGTTCCAAGTGTTTTTAAGCTTTCTTGTGATGGTGAGGGGAAAGGTGCCAAAAAATTCAAGGCATCTTTTCCCCACCCCACACCAGCGACAGGGGAAATTCTACAACCCATGGACGATCCCTTATCCTTCTGGTGTTCAAAAAAAAAATTTCTTGGATATTTTAAAGCGCCACAAAGGCTAAAATAAAAACAGTGATAACATTTTTACAGTACTGTACCAGCATTATTTTTATTATTATTTTCTTTAAACGTCCGCCATATCCCACCGAGGTGGGGGGGCCCAAAAGGAAAAAAAAAAAGTTTTCCTTTTAAAATTTAGAAATATATAAGGAAAAGGGGGTTACTACCCCCTTGCCCCGGCTTTTAAAATTTCCCTCTTAAGACACCTGGCTTACGGGGGAAAAATTCGTTCCCTTCCCCATGGAGAAAGGGAAATAAACAAGAACAAGAATTAGAAAAAAATAGAAAAAACCCGAGGGGTTGTTAACATGTATATGCTTGAAACCGTGTGTAGGTGACCCAAGTGTTGTAGAAGTACAAAAACGTATACCTGAAATCTTGCATGTTTACAAGACAGACAAAAAACACCGCAATCCTACCATCATGTAAAACAAAATTACGGGGTTCCCTTTTACACCACTTGGCAGGACGGTATACTACCTCCCTGGGTGGTTGCTGTCTACCAACCTACTACCCAGGATTATTTTTATTATTATTTTATTTTATTATTACGTATTAGTAGTTTAGAAAGAGATAGACTTAATAAAACAATAAGAGTAATAATTGTAGTAATATTTTGTATTATTATCCTATATTAACCCTTAGAACTGCATAAAAGCTGAACCAATAATAATTTTCAAGAAAGATTTAATAACTTTATAAAAATATCCCACTACTAAATATAAAATCTACTAGGGGGTGACTGTAAACAGTCGGATACAATGTCATAGTACATAAGAATTATTACAGTATAAGGGAAATACTGTTTTTTGAGGTCAGCTACATGGCCTACTGAAAAAAACAAAAATATCCCATGAAGAAAGGTGATGTAGAGGAAGGTGAAGTATCCAAAAGGGTGAAGATGGTTTAGCTATGAGAGCCAATCTGGGGGCTCCCCAACAGCTTTTTTCCCTGGCACTTTCTTCCCAAAACCCGCTACCAACTTTTCTTTTTTCATATGCTGGAAAAAACCCGGAATCAAGTACATAAAACAGTGTAGCCAAAGACAACTATCAGTAGGGAGTGTGCTTCTTACATTTTTTTTTGTGGGGGGATCACACTTCCCCACCCCCGCCCCTGAATATCCACAAAGGTTTTGTGCTTTACAAATTTAACAAATACGTAAATAAGTTTACCAAAAATTAATAAAAGAAGAATTTAATTGTTTACTTTCTAGGGACTCATGGGGGTTTTGGGGCACTTTTTTGAATATAATAAAAAAATACACAGGTTATATAACCAATTTTGATAAATTTTGGCTGAGTGTTACTTAAAAATGAACCTGAATTAGCTTAATACTTTAAGAAGATTACAAGATCACAATCAATTATAAAGTCCCCGTAAAACTTTAGCCACAAATACATAACAGTACTTTTCATCAGGATTAGTACTTGGATAATTTTTTTCCCAGTTTTCCTTTTAAGGTATGAGATGAGAGGTTACCCCAAAAATTTGGGTTTCCCGTTTTTTTTTTACCATTTTCAATTTTTTATAACACTAACCCCAAACCAAATTGTTTTTCGACTATAATTTTCTTTTAAAAATTTTTTTAATTTTACATAACTTTTGCCCCGTTTTTCATTCGGTTCTATCCCCCCCCAGGTATGGTTTATTTGCAATCGTGTCATTACGATTTTGTGAGTTAGAAATTAAACAATGTAAGAATATTATTGATATTATAGATCACAAGAATAATAAGAAATGGCCGAGTATGAAAGTGAAGATCTAGCAAGTAGAGGGTTTTCTTTTTGCTATAGGATGCACTAAGAGAGAGAGTAGGAACAAGTGTCTGTGCCTTCCTTGGATCAAACTTGATTGCCTCCCATCTCCCAGGTGCTCCATGAAAATAATACCAAACAGTTTGTTGGATGAACCCAACAGGTTCACAGATTTCTAACTCAATAGAGGACTTACACTTCATTTGCATTAACAACTCCAGAATTTTGAGGGCAATTATGACCTAATTTATTAAAAAATGTATTGAGCAACCACATGATCTAATTACTAATGTCAAGTAGTTTTTAATTTTAGTTTTAGTCTTCCTGAAGTGCTTTGTGTAATTATGGTCTTTTCCGTGTATGGCACAACCAGTGTAATCATATCTCTGAAACACAAATATAACTTTGAAAATAAACTTGCATTTGTAATTGTACCTCTGTGAATCCCTGCACTACCCGCAGGGCAATGAGGACACTGTGATGGACATCCGCTGCCAATGGGAACATTAATGTAGCAAGTGCATTCATGCCCACGCAGAGGACCATGATGAGACGCCCACCCCAGCGGTCACACACCCAGCCACCCAGCAGTGTACCTGCGATGTTTCCACAGAAGATACTTGACAGAAGGTTACCCTGCACTACTTTGCTCCAGTTGAAGTAGCCACTTTGTGTCTGATGAAAAAATGTCAATTAATTCATGTTTTTTTTTCTATTGTAAAAGTCTCCCGGTGCAGTTATTAGTCAAATTATGACACACTCAGTATCTAAACAACTGGCATACCCACATCACACATAGGTAACATCCTATATCTATACACCTCATACAAGATCTCGATACATGCTGTGTTTCAGTGTTGCATAAGTACAGTATATTTGCTCAAAATTGTAATAGCTCATTGAATCTAGAGGGCAATTACCAGGTAAATACCACTATTCTGAATTAGTTACAATAATAAACATCATATAAAGAATAAAAGTGAATATATGTACATCAATTGTTTTATTTAAATTTATAGCCAATTATAAAATCTTGAAATAATCCTTGTCAAAAATATTTCAATGAATACTTTCTAAATGAAAAAAATGGAAAGACATAATTAAGGAACCTAACATAGAAATTAATGCAGGATCAATTAAGAATTTATAACATTAAACTGGTGTAAGTACAGAAACCACATTCCACAAGGGTTTCACCTGTCTTCTGAAGAGGTACTACAAGAGCCTCTTTATTGGATCGAACATGATTACCTCTCATTCCCTAACCACTGTATGAACCCTATGGGTTTAGCTCTTTCCCATAAATGAAATAATAATCACCTGCACTGGGGAAGGATCACTGTCCATATCCTGGAGCACCAGAGAGCTGCAGGTGTTGAGGCTGTGTCTTTGTGCAGTGCTGGTTATGTTGGAAGTAAGTGAGGGCCAGTGGGTGCTAAGATTATCATACCCTTGGGTACTAAGATCATCATACCCTTGGGTACTAAGATCATCATACCCTTGGGTACTAAGATCATCATACCCTTGGGTGGTAAGCTCATATCCTTGAGTGGTAAAATTGCCCCTCTGGGTGAGGATGGAAGTCTCGTGAAGAGTAATTTCAGGAGAGTGGGCCACCATACACACCAGGGCCATAGAGAGACTCATACGTACTATCATTAGTTGCATCGTGCCCAGCATTACCATAATGATGGTCCAAAACCGCCATGATGTCAGTAGAGGGCCTGTAATATAGCGCCACTGTCACTTTACACTGCAAAGTTTAAAATGACAAATGATATGGTTGGATAGGTTGATTAATGGGGTTTGAATTCTGTCTATTACAGGAAAGTCACAATGGTTGTGTGTAACCTTTTTACCTTCGGTCAAGAATGCTTTCTCTAAAAAAGGGATTCCCCTCAAGGGAGATTTCTTGATGGTGGTGTCCAGTAACTCACACTGAGGTTGAGTTCGAGTTTCCTCTGGTAGGGCTGGAAAACATTAGGGACATGTTTCCATAAGACACCTGCTGTCCCTGTTCCTATTCACCCATCAGTTTAAAATGGGTACCTGGGTGTTAGTCGACTGTGTCGCATCCTGGGACAATGACCTAATTTGCCCGAAATGTTCAGCATAACAAGCGGCTTTCTAAATAGTAGTATGTCACTGATGTCAGCTAGACCTGTATACCATGTACAGGTATTTGTAGAAATAAAGATTATTAATATTATTATTATTATTAATTATTATTATTATTATTATTATTAGTAGTAGTAGTAGTAGTAGTAGTAGTAGTAGTAGAAGTAGTAGTAGTAGTAAGGGTCCAAGTCAGACTGAAAAGTCGTCATGCAATACCATTATTAACAACTACTATAAAAATGGAATGACGTAATGGACTACACAATCCTTTTATTAAAAAAAATAAAAGGCAATGATAATAAGAAAATTGAAGAGTGATTTAAATCCCCAAAGTAGGACGCAAAATCTAGAAATTGTTTTTATTCTTTATTCTAATACATAAAATATTAGTGTATCGTACAGTATTCTTGAAGTTTATTAAATGTTTGACGCTACGGGCCCTCTGAGGCCGGTTTAGGGCTCTTGATCCAAGGAACCGAAGCTACCTTTCCCTTCATAGGGTAAAACTTAATCATATCCCATTTTCCAGGTGCAGTACTACCCTTACAGGTTTGGCTTATACCTTACCTGGAGTTTACCTGGAGAGAGTTCCGGGGGTCAACGCCCCCGCGGCCCGGTCTGTGACCAGGCCTCCTGGTGGATCAGAGCCTGATCAACCAGGCTGTTACTGCTGGCTGCACGCAAACCAACGTACGAGCCACAGCCCGGCTAATCAGGTACCGACTTTAGGTGCTTGTCCAGTGCCAGCTTGAAGACTGCCAGGGGTCTGTTGGTAATCCCCCTTATGTATGCTGGGAGGCAGTTGAACAGTCTCGGGCCCCTGACACTTATTGTATGGTCTCTTAACGTGCTAGTGACACCCCTGCTTTTCATTGGGGGGATGTTGCATCGTCTGCCAAGTCTTTTGCTTTCGTAGTGAGTGATTTTCGTGTGCAAGTTCGGTACTAGTCCCTCTAGGATTTTCCAGGTGTATATAATCATGTATCTCTCCCGCCTGCGTTCCAGGGAATACAGGTTTAGGAACCTCAAGCGCTCCCAGTAATTGAGGTGTTTTATCTCCGTTATGCTCGCCGTGAAGGTTCTTGTACATTTTCTAGGTCAGCAATTTCACCTGCCTTGAAAGGTGCTGTTAGTGTGCAGCAATATTCCAGCCTAGATAGAACAAGTGACCTGAAGAGTGTCATCATGGGCTTGGCCTCCCTAGTTTTGAAGGTTCTCATTATCCATCCTGTCATTTTTCTAGCAGATGCGATTGATACAATGTTATGGTCCTTGAAGGTGAGATCCTCCGACATGATCACTCCCAGGTCTTTGACGTTGGTGTTTCGCTCTATTTGTGGCCAGAATTTGTTTTGTACTCTGATGAAGATTTAATTTTCGTGTTTACCATATCTGAGTAATTGAAATTTCTCATCGTTGAACTTCATATTGTTTTCTGCAGCCCACTGAAAGATTTGGTTGATGTCCGCCTGGAGCCTTGCAGTGTCTGCAATGGAAGACACTGTCATGCAGATTCGGGTGTCATCTGCAAAGGAAGACACGGTGCTGTGGCTGACATCCTTGTCTATGTCGGATATGAGGATGAGGAACAAGATGGGAGCGAGTACTGTGCCTTGTGGAACAGAGCTTTTCACCGTAGCTGCCTCGGACTTTACTTGTTGACGACTACTCTCTGTGTTCTGTTAGTGAGGAAATTATAGATCCATCGACCGACTTTTCCTGTTATTCCTTTAGCACGCATTTTGTGCGCTATTACGCCATGGTCCACTTGTCGAAGGCTTTTGCAAAGTCTGTATATATTACATCTGCATTCTTTTTGTCTTCTAGTGCATTTAGGACCTTGTCGTAGTGATCCAATAGTTGAGACAGACAGGAGCGACCTGTTCTAAACCCATGTTGCCCTGGGTTGTGTAACTGATGGGTTTCTAGATGGGTGGTGATCTTGCTTCTTAGGACCCTTTCAAAGATTTTTGTGATATGGGATGTTAGTGCTATCGGTCTGTAGTTCTTTGCTGTTGCTTTACTGCCCCCTTTGTGGAGTGGGGCTATGTCTGTTGTTTTTAGTAACTGTGGGACGACCCCCGTGTCCATGCTCCCTCTCCATAGGATGGAAAAGGCTCGTGATAGGGGCTTCTTGCAGTTCTTGATGAACACGGAGTTCCATGAGTCTGGCCCTGGGACAGAGTGCATGGGCATGTCATTTATCGCCTGTTCGAAGTCATTTGGCGTCAGATAACATCGGATAGCTTGTGTTATCGAAAAATTTTGTGGCTCTCTCATAAAAAAATCAATTTGATCTTCGACTCTCAGTCTGGTTAGCGGCTTGCTAAAAACTGAGTCATATTAGAACTTGAGTAGCTCACTCATTTCCTTGCTGTCATCTGTGTAGGACCCATCTTGTTTAAGTAGGGGCCCAATACTGGACGTTGTTCTCGACTTTGATTTGGCATAGGAGAAGAAATACTTTGGGTTTCTTTCGATTTCATTTATGGCTTTTAGTTCTTCCCGCGTTTCCCTGACCCCTATAAGATTCCTTTAGCTTAAGTTCGATGCTTGCTATTTCTCTGACCATTTGTCTCCCTACGCATTTCAGATATATTGACCTCTTTTAGCGCTCTGTTATTCTTTCCGTCGCCTGTAAAGGGAGGCTGTTCTTTCTATTTTACATCTACTCTCCTTTTTTTAAGGAATAAGCCTTGTGCATACATCGAGTGCCACCAAGTTAATCTGTTCTAGGCATACGTTGGGGTCTGTGTTGCTTAGTATATCTTCCCAGCTTATATCGGTTAGGACTTGGTTTACTTGGTCGCACTTTATGTTTTTGTTATTGAAGTTGAATTTGGTGAATGCTCCCTCGTGACTAGTCTCATTATGTCGGTCTGGGGCTCCGCGCATACATGTTTGAACCTCAATTATGTTGTGATCTGAGTATATTGTTTTTGATATAGTGACATTTCTTATCAGATCATCATTGTTAGTGAAGATGAGGTCTAGTGTATTCTCCAGTCTAGTAGGCTCTATTATTTGCTGGTTTAAATTAAATTTTGTGCAGAGATTTAAAAGCTCGTGTGAGTGTGAGTTTTCATCAGTGCTGCCTCCTGGTGTTATTACTACAATAATATTATTTGCTATATTCCTCCATTTTAGGTGCCTTAACAAGATGTTGGGTGTAGGAGCTGGAAGATTTTCCAGACAGTGGTCAATTTTTAACAGCTGTTCCTGGAATTACTGGGATGTTGCATCCGGAGGCTTGTAGACTACCACAATGACTAGGTTTTGGTTCTCGACCTTTACTGCTAAAACTTCCACTACATCATTTGAGGCATTAAGCAGTTCTGTGCAAACAAGTGACTCTGCAATGTACAGGCCAACCCCCCCCTTTTGCCTGTTCACTCTGTCACATCTGTATAGGTTGTAACCTGGGATCCATATTTCGTTGTCCAAGTGATCCTTTATGTGGGTCTCAGTGAAAGCCGCGAACATTGCCTTTGCCTCTGCAAGCAGTCCACGGATGAAAGGTATTTTGTTGTTCGTTGCTGGCTTTAGACCCTGTATATTTGCAAAGAAGAATGTCATCGGACTGGCGGTATTGTTGGTACTGGGGGGGGATTTTTTTTCCGGCATTAGTATCTGTATCTGTTGGTTTGGAGTGGAGGCCATCGACTGTGGTTCCACCCCAGGAATGACGGGATTTGGGTGTACGATTTCTGCCATTTCCTGCCATTTTTTTCCTTCCTGGCACTAAAAAACCTCTCCCTCTTGAGTGGCTGTGGCTCCCCAAGGTTTTTCCCATGGCCTGGATGTTTTGTATCTTTTTGTCCCCTTTAGATGGTGTGCCTGGGAATTTAAGTTATAGCACAGTCTTTTCTGTACTGAAGAGGTACACATTTCAGAGTGAAAAAGCTTACAGGAAGGGAGTTTGCATTTTCCTGTTGTCATATGGGCATGGCATTTTCTAGGGTGGTCATAGTTGCACGTCCTGTCTGTTTTTCCAGATTTCCCATGTCTGCAGACACCAAGTGCATAGTATGTGCACAGGCTTGGTTTCCGTTTGCCTTGGGTTTCTGTGACTGTATTTCCTGTTGGTGCATGTTTCTCTGTCTTATTCCTATCCTCCCTAGCACCAACAATGGAGCTCCCACCAGTTGTTTTTGGTAATATATCCTCACTATTGCTAGTGAAGTCCTCTTGTTTGCTATTTCCTGTGGTATTTCTAGTTTGCAATATTGGTTTTATCTTATCTTTGGCTACAACATCCCCCCAATGAAAAGCAGGGGTGTCACTAGCACGTTAAGAGACCATACAACAAGTGTCAGGGGCCCGAGACTGTTCAACTGCCTCCCAGCATACATAAGGGGGATTACCAACAGACCCCTGGCAGTCTTCAAGCTGGCACTGGACAAGCACCTAAAGTCGGTTCCTGACCAGCCGGGCTGTGGCTCGTACGTTGGTTTGCGTGCAGCCAGCAGCAACAGCCTGGTTGACCAGGCTCTGATCCACCAGGAGGCCTGGTTACAGACCGGGCCGCGGGGGCGTTGACCCCCGGAACTCTCTCCAGGCAAA